ATCTATTTGGGGGAGGCTGAGTTTTACTCCCCTCCACCAGCCCTGGGACAAATAGGACTCAAGAAACTGACAGTAAGAGGTTAGCAATCTTCTCAAAGGGTTTACCCTTCTGTCCCTCCCCAACCCTGCAGTCTTTATCATCTCAGAGAGAGCAGCACAGAACAGACAGCAAGGCTTGCTTCCCTGGGATGTGAAGAATGGGTTGATGAGACACCCATGGATTCACACCAAGGGTAGAATCTGAATTTGGGGAGGGTTGGGCATTTCACCCCCACTAACCAGTAAAAGCAAAAGAATTTAACCACAACAGGTAGAGCTTTGAATTCTGGAGCTAAGGACACAGAGGGTGAATTCTCCAGGGAGCAGCCAGCCAGAGTGTTTCTTCCATAGATACTGAGCTTCCCAAGTGCACTGGAAAATCTTAAGCCAATTTCACCATAATTGACATGCTAATTGGAGACCAGACTGCTCCTAATTGTGATCCTGGTCCCCCCAAGATTGCAGCCCAGGCTGTCTTAATTCAGATGAAATCTTCCCAGCTCCAGTGCTGTTGTTACTGGTAATTAAACCTCCTTGATTGTTCCAGTACACAAAGATTACATGACAGTAAAGGAAGAAAACATAACTTATCTTTATCTCATTTGTAAAGGTAAAGGGAAATGGGAACTACAACCGCATTAAAATATGAATGACGCACACCCATTCTTTTCTTGTCAGGCCAGGCTAGCAGGAGACTCAGAGACTTAAAGCATCTTAACATGTGGACATATATCTGCTTTACTGTTACACAATGAAAATTAAACATGGAGGAAGCCAGTATGAATTACTTTAAAAAATTACATTTGCAGCACCTGGAAATAAATCCTCTGCAATTAACATATTTTTGTAATCCACGGTAGATCTAGAACTCCTTTCTAACCTTTACTTTCCAGTCCACACCTGCTGGAATTGGGAAAAAAAGTAAAAATTAAAGGGTGTAAGTTAAGAGCTGTCTCAGGTCACTGGCTTCTTGAATCCAGATTTCCTGGACTTGGCTGGCTTCCACTCATGTTATTTTTTTCAGATTCAAGTTCCATTTCTACCACCTGCAGACTTGGGCCCTCCCTGGTGGCACAACAGGTTAAAGTGCAGCACTGCGAAGCTATCCACAGTAGCTTCAGCCTTAAGTTAGATCCCCAACCAGGAAGTTGACCTACATGGAGCAGCAGACCTTGCCTGTCTTGACCGCTGCTCCCCTTAGCAGTGTACTTCATCGACCTGCTTGTTCTGCTCCCCACTTTGTTTTTGGTGAATCCTCTCACCACCCCTGTACCTCTGGCAGTACCCTAGTTCTGTATGCATAAATAAATAAATCTTTAAAACAAAACAAAGTACAGACTTATGTCAGAATCACCTGGGTCTGGCTGCAAATGCATTTGTCAGTATCCTCAAGGCCACCAACCACAAGCAAACATGCTTAATCAGTCCTAGGAGATTCCTGGAGACACCATCTTGAACAAACCCTCAAGAGCAAAGTGCAACTGTCATGTGTCTCTATATCTTCAACATCCAGCTAGATACCCAGCTAAAAATGGGTATGCAGCTGAAGAATATGCTGAAGCAAACTCACAAGCTCTTCCCTTTTCAATGGGTCTTTAAAGAAAAGAAGAGGAAGGGCTGTTCACTCCAGTCCACTTTTTACATTATAATCCACTCACTGTTCATGGAGCCCCTCCTGAGACTGACCTGCCAAGTGGCCATTTTCCAAACCAGAAAGGGCGATCATCCCAGTGCTACCAGGAATGGTGCCTCCTGGCACTGGTGGATTCCATCTGCCCTTCCTTCTGGGCCTGTTACATTACCAGTGTGGGAAGGAGATAGTGTCTTCTTGATATCAAAGATTTCCCTTTGGAATATTTAAGCCAGTTCTGTCTACCTTTACAGCGGAATCATCAGAAATGAACATGCCTGGGTGAATTTCATCCTGACATAAGTACTTGTGGGTGTGATTTGGGGCACTGAGTTGTCCAAACAGCCTTATCCTTTGACAGTTCTGATGCTGAGGAGCTCTGCTCCATTTGTGCAGAATTCCTATTTAAACATAGTCCTCAAAGAATACCCTAAACTTCTCCCCAAAAGGAAAGCTGTGATTTGAGAATGGGAGAGTTGATGAAGGATGGGGGGGGGGGTGGAGAAGGAAAGTGTCTGCTCCAAATGCTCAAACCAGTTATTGCAACCAGTACACTGAGAATATAGAGCCACTCTGAAAGCTTAGAGACCATTTTGTAAATTAAAGAAGTAGAGGAAATTCACATTTCTTAGCATCCTTAGGGAAAGAAGACTAAGAACTCAGTGTTCCCTATTATCTTACCAACTCTCAGCAGCCTAGCTAGACCCCACTATTACTCCTGGGCAGAATTAATTGCTTCCCTGTTGCTCCCCAGAGCGCTTTGCCCCTTTCCCGGATTAGAGCACTTAACTGGCATTAAATCTAATTGTTTGTTATAGGTCTTTTCCCCAGACTTTGCTCTGCCAGGTTGACTGGGAGTTTCGTTATCTGTGTGCCACTGAGGTGCTTTTTAAACACGGCTTCTAGGTGGGTAGACTGTCAATACCACCATCCACCCTGGTCCCTGGGATATGCTTCTTTGAGAGCTAAACTAGGGGTTAGCTTGGCAGGCTGGCTTAAACATTTTTATAGTATTGCTTCTCTTGAACACATTTTCCAGAATGATGTACCTCCAACAAATCTGTGTGCATAAATTGCAGAGACAAGTCATTTCCCCTAAAAGACATTGATCTTGAAGGCTGTGTTGTTTTCCAGGTATGGAGACACACACATTTATATATTGACACAGAGGTATTTATTTATATATAATCTATATTATATAATAATTATTATAATAATGTATATAATCTCAAGTGTGTGTGTATATATATATATGTGTGTGTGTGTGTATATATATATACACACACACACCCCATATATAATGTATATAATTCTTGTGGAGTTTCCTGTCCTATGACTTCCAGTATTAAATGACATCAAAGTGAGGTGTGCTTCCAGCATTATTGCTACCTTGAAAGAAACTAGTGTGTTTTGCCTGGGTACACAGCAATGCTTCTAAGAGGCTGCTTTTTACACTAAAGTAATCCAAACCCTGCTATACTCTCACTCTGTAATGTTTGAACATGGGTTGTTGTTTTACTTTTTCAGAAGGTTTAAAGAATCTTTCTCTGGTTCCTTGAGCCCTCTCATTGCTTCCAGTAGCCCCATCTCCAATTCACCTCCTAGCCTGCACCAACAAAGACCTTCCTGAACACCCAGACTCCTACTCACTCCTCTCCCTTAAGAAAGAAGGCCAAACTCCACCTTGCTGGCTTTTCATCATTTTCCGGGGCTCCTCTCAGCAAAATGCTCTTTTAATTGTAGACTCTATTACTTACTACTGTAAACAACCCTTCACTCATGCTTGGCTTCTGTTTTTCCCTCTGTCCAGAATGTCCTCTTCCCCAACTTGACCTCTTAAAGTCCCGTCCATCCCCCAAAACCACCAGAGGGGGAGCTGCAGATCTATGGTTGGGATCAACTTCTGCTCCACCATTGGCCTGCTGTGTGACATAGGTAAGGCATTCACCCACTCTGATCCTCACCTTCCTCATTTTCAAAACGAGTGTTCAAAGAATGAATAAAAGAGTAGAAAACAAAATAACCAGACAATCATTTTCAGCCCCCCTACAACCTTCTGAACCTTTATCCTTTTCCTTCTCATACAGAGCTGAGAGAGCGAGAGTACACCAAGCATTATGGGAGCACAGTCATACTTATTACCATTCCCAACAGACTAGGAGACCTTGGAAGTCAAGAAGCCTCATTTTAGATAAGCCTCCCACACAGTCGCTAAGCAATGATATTGGATGACAAGTCACTTATTCCCTTTTCATTCATAGTCAGATCCACATAATTCACTGGCCAGTTGCTTCTGAGGGGTAGTGTCAGCATACATGAACTCAGAGGTACGATAGGTCTAACCTTGAACCTTAACTGTTTGACCCCAAGCAAGCTACTTTTTATATCCTGATCTGGAAAGTGGGGATTAATAGCCCTACTTCATAGGGTTGCTCAGACACTTAAGCCCACTGATGTGGGTGAAGTGCCATCCACATTACTATTAGGATGTTAGCAACTTGTGGTTTGGGGCCTCCCAGCCTCAAGCCAGGAGAACATTTGAGCTCAGTGGTTTTGAAAGTCATGGACACTGTGACCCAACTGTCCCACCAAGCAGGCCCTTGCTGTAACTTTTGAGGCAATTTTAGTTTTGTGGCCTAAAATTTGTGTTTCAGTTTTAAACACACTTAAAATTGAAACACACATAAAACTGAAACACAAATTATTACTACTATTATTTTTTTTATTATTATTTTTAAAAAGGAATTATATTTTATGACTGTATTAGTATAAAGATAAACATAATCCAGGCTGGATTCTTCACTATTTTCGTTTTCATTTTCTTCTGATTTTAAAAGAAATTAAAATGAAAACATTTTTAGGGGCTCCTAAAATAGCTGTGGGCCCCAAACATTGCTCCTCCTGTGCCGACAGGAAGTCAGTCCTACCTGATCTGATCCGTCAGGCTCAGCTGCAGCAGATACTGGCTTCTCTCCACACACTTGTGGGTGGGGAAGGAGTTGGGGGGAGGGCAGGACTCTGCACTCCTCCAAGACTTTGCAAACCCGTCTTTTCTGGATCTCTTCTTCTGTGCCTTCCTCTGACTGACTTTCCACACGAACCCCAGAGCCGTGACAGTGCTCTTACTCCACTTTCTGAGAGTATCTCTCGGCCGCTGCCCAAGAGTCTACTTTGAGGTGACTGGGCTGCCGCGGGCTCCAAAGCCCCACTGGCTTCTTTTTGAGGTAAGCTCCATTTCTATGATTCGGTCACGTTCCTACCTCACGTGCTCTCCAAGGCCTAAGCCCCTGCTTTATCTGTGGTTAATGGACTCATGCCTCTCTCCCACCAGACTGCACGTGGCTCTTCGCTCTCAGAAGGCCCTGGAAGCTACCACAGCAGGTACTCAGGTAACCTGCTCAGACAGGTTGAACCAACATAACCTCCTAGCAACAGTGAATGTGAGTATTCAAAACGTTCAAAAGTTTTTAACAACTCGCCATACAGCCTTCTACTTTTGAGGAATAGAAGCACCTGCGTAGAAACTACTTGCTAGACAAACCAGAAACCCGGATCCCCGC